AACTTGAGATGTTCTTGAGATTTCAGTGTGGCAAATTCAAGCAGAGATATGAAGTCAGACTCAAAAAACAGAGATGGAATATGATAATCTAGTGAGGTGATCTAGTGAAAAATGTGCATATTGAAAAGAGATCTAGAACATGGTACTGAGAGAGTTCAGTATTTCTGGGATTGCTTAATGCCAGCATGATTTTGCAAAGAAAGGTGAAGATTTCTGTAAGAATGTGATTATAATGATGGGCCATGAATCCAAATTAGCTGTGGAGAGATGAAAAGAGAGGGTGGCAGTGAGGGATAGTGAGAAACAAGAAAGAGTTGGTGAATGGGAGATATCTTAAAGGATTAAATATCCCTAAGTAGGCACTACAGGAAAAGAACTAGAGGAGCAGGAGAAAGTGGTTGGAGAATGGGGTGTTGGAACTAACAGGACATGAACAAGAGCTAGTGAAATAAACTAGCTTTACATGATTTACTTTAGTTACTGGTAAATTTTTTCTCCTCTTTTTAGTAGAGCTTTGAAAGACTAAATTATGTTTCTAATGGAGTTTACAGAATCTCTTCCTGAATATATTATTTTCATTTTAAAAGTAAAGTAACTATCCAACATTTTCTTAATTACTTTAGCTATAATTTTTGTGTTGGCAAAAAGGCTTGGTTAAGTGAATTTTTAAGATCATACCAGCAGTATAGAACATAGTGACATCTAAGGAATGGGCATATGAAAAAAGGAATTTTGCATTTTTTCCACCTCTCAACTTGATTAATTATATTCACATATGCAAATGAGAAAAAAATTTATAAGGCTTAAATGTATAAGTGGATGGAATTATATGAATTAAAAAAAATACCATTAGCATAATACAGGATCTGGCTAAAAACTACTGTTAACTAGGTGAAGACATATGCATGAAAATGTTATAATGTGAAAAAAATGTTATAGGACAAAACAGTTTTTCAAATCATTGCTATAATCTGGGAGAAAATATAAACTTTACGAATAAATTCTATTGCTTCACCTCACCAATCTAATATGACATCAATTGCACAAAAGGCATTTTAGAGAGCAGAAACATAGTAACACAATTCACATGAACAATTTCTTCAGAAAAATAGCAAAGTGACTGTTGTGTGAGATAAATAAAAATTCCTATTATATAGGGAGAGGGAAACAAGTAGCATTTCTTTTAATAAGAAAAATGCCATTTATATTATCAAGTGGGGTGATTTGAAATACTTTTCCTTGCCGCACCATCCCATGAACTCTGTGGCTGACTTGGCGTTGGAAAGCTGAAACTGAAGCCACGAAGATTCAGGTAAGCACTAAACTGAAGGATTATTGAAGTAACTGGAATTTAGGATTATTATAGCATTTCTTTTATCCCAAGATTAATTTTTTTAAAGAATACAAATAAATTAAGTAACACACTTAAAAACATATCCTCCTCTAGGCAAATATAATTATTTCAAGGAACAATGGGCTTAAATATCAGGGAAAAAAACAAACAGTGATGGAAACTCAGACAAATTGAAGAGCCTGTCTGATTTGACCAGAACAGGTCCCCAGTTTCAGGAATGCTTCTCAATAGCATCATTTTTTAGGTATGTGTTACGTACGATTTGATGGATTAAAAAAAAAAAAAGACAAAAATATCCACCTGTGTTTTCTTAAGGAAACAGCTATTTGAAACAAGAATATGAGTGTATAAATGTAGGTATTCTTAAGAAGGTGAAACCTTCAGACTGTTTTTTTTAATGTTGTTCAATGTGATCTTCCTTTATGGGAATAAAGAATATATTGGTTATTCACTAGCAGTGTATTATTGTCATTATGAATCCATTAGACATATTCAGGTGAACTGAATAACAGCCTGTGACCAACCTCTCCTTCCCTTGCTTTTAGCACAGAACACATTTAATAGAACACAAACTGTTCCTTATTTATTTTTGCCTATAGTAAAAATTCTGCAAAAAGTATAAAAGTCCTCTCCTTTGCCCTTGTTTAGCAATGGAAGCATTGGATGTAGTGAGTAGTAAGTTGTTGCATTTGTGCCATTTATTAAAATAACCAATAAGGTACAACATATCTGATAAACTGAGTAGCAGTAGTTATTGAATCTGGACTATTCCATGCTAAATGTAAAGTTGTGGATGGGGTGTTGGGGGTGGGAAGGTGTGTGCAGCAAAAACATCTAATGCTTAGTAAGACATAAGAGCATGAGTTTCCATTGTCTTTGGAAGCTTTAAATGAAGTTTTAAAATGGTCTAAAACACATGCACACACATGCATAAAAATACAAATAAACACACACACACTAGTTTGTAAGAGAGACATGTAGCATGGTTGCAGCAGAGCTTATTTTAATTTGAAAGTTGTCCTTGGACTGCTCTACTAAGGTGCTGAACTTGTTGATTTCCCATGCCTTTCTTTGCCCGGTGGCCTTCTCTTGCTACTGAAGGCTGTTTTGCCATTCTCAGCAGGTTGGGCATTCAGGGGAATAAATGCCCTCCTAGTGTCTCTCAGCCATGGCCAACAGCTAGAGTCCTTACATCAGCTTCCTTAACCCTTCAACAGGGTCACTGAGGTGTGTGTCCTCCACTGGCTGCCAGTCTCTCCAGTGGAAAGAGGTTTCAGTCACTCAAGATGACAGTGGGCTTTACTGGCTCCTCTGTCTCATTTCCATTCTCCCCTACTGACAAGCCTTCACTTCCAAAATACTTTCACCCAGATCCTCATTTCAGGGTTACTTTCTGCTTCTGGAAGAACCCAAACTAAGACATATGCCAAACACGACTTTTAACTTAATAACCCTGGGAATATTTGCAATTGCAACTCAATCCTTAGGTCCAAATAACAAATAGATCTGTTTATGCAAACCTTTTCATTGTGGTTTGATAAATTGCTTAAATTCTTATTAAAATGATCTACATACAGAATGGATGGGTTAACAACATAGGTATGAAATGTAGGTCTATTTTGTATTAAAATTACACCAGCCTATTTAAAATACCAAATTCACCACTAATTTTGCCAGTCTAGCTTTGTTTTAATCATTGTGATGCTGTCCTAATGTTTTGAAAGAAGTCAAGAAAATAGTAGAAAGTGTGCTCGATATGTATTGAAACGTTGCCAAAGCAATCCATCAGTCTGTTAATCTAGCACCTATCTACATGGTAAGAAAGGTACAGTCAAAATATTTTCCCTAATTTTTTTCTTAACTTTTAAAGAAGAGACTGTTTGGAGTCTATTGGTCACCAGATTCATCAACCATCTAGGAAAATAACTCCTTTCATAGTTCAATCAGAGCCTCATCTAAAATGCAGCAGAAATCTAAGACTTCAAGCTACCATCCCCACTCCTGTTTCCATGGGAATAGACAGCCGATCAGGAAAAAAAAATGGATGGGGTTAGGAGCTTTCAAATAATCATTCAAAATCATGATGAAGCTTTTAGAGCTTCTTTCTTAGGTGATTATTGTGTAGCCTCTTAACCCCTTTTTGCGTCTGTTTCCATGGAAATACGACAAAAATGGCTGTCCAAGCCACTGGCACAGATTAGTACCATTCTTGTGAATTTTAGCTTTGGCTGCAGTCCAAGCTAGGCAAGATCTTTTTTTATTAACAGTTTTACCTATTAACCTACACTGTTTCTATTTGTTGTCACTTTTCTTTGTAAGTTTTACTTTCTTTACAATTTTTGCTTTCCCTTCACAAATTTATACCTATGATCAAGATCAAACTGATTGAGAAATCACTTAAAAAGGCTTCAGTTTTACATTTTAATATATAAGCCAAGACATGTAGATTCAGAGTGTCAGAACTTTTAGAGACCTGAAGAAGGAAACCTTATTTAGTTACTGGACTCAATGTCTGGTAGGTTGGTATTAGCAGATAGTATTGAAAATATTTAGCAATGGTTAAGACATTGTACCAACCAAATAGAGCAGCTGTTTTGCACCAGCTAATTAGCAGGCCTATTACATAATAAGCAATCAATTTTTAAACTAAAAGTAGCCCTATATAAGATAGTGAGCATTATATCCAAACAAATTATCCAGAGTCACAAACGAAGCTTCTATAAAACTTATAAAGGGAACTTATAAGAGAAACTGGGTTGAAATCTATAGCAATCTATCTTTTAAAAAAATCAAAGTGCATATGTTTGCATCATCTTTACTGTGAAAGTCATTTGAAAATCAAAATCATTCTTATTACTGAAGATACTATGCTAAAAGAGAAAAAGAATATATATGGGCCTTTGAGAAAATCCCTGGCAAGATATTCTGTGGTGAATGTGAAAAAAATAACAGTACGTTACATATATAGTTTCATCTGATCTACCTTCTGAAATTTGCTGAACAGCTTAATCTGCAATTTTTGCTATTGGAAATCTTAAAGTTCTGATTGACCTTATAAAGTACCTTTATTCCTTAGAACTCTCTTATTCTATAGTTGGAGCTTTTTACCTGTGAGGTCTTGCCTTCCAAATCCGAACTGAACAAAGTAAATTTCAATGGGTAATTTTCTGACTTACCTAGATTCCTAATTTAAACTTAACGGACACTAGCTTACTATAGAATCAAATTGATGTTTTCAACAAAATAGATGATAACAATAATAAAGCAGTCTGATTAATTTTTCAGATCATTATCACTACTCCCAAATGCATTTTGGCATAGTGGATAAAACCCTGCAGTCCAAGTCTAGCCATCAGCTTGTTTGTGCAAATCAACACAGCAAATAAAAAACATTTTTGTGTTTTGTTTTATTTTCTTAATTGCCTACAGCTGCTTACCTACTAAAAGAACAGAGTTAGTAATTGCCACAGAGACCACATGGCATGAAAAATCTAACTACTTATTCTCTGGTCTCTCAAGAAGAAGTTTCCTGACCCCTGCTCAAGTCTTTAATTATAAGATTATATCATTTCCAGAAAAGGAACTTTGTAAGTTGTAGTCTTTTTTTTTTTTCATCTAAAAGTAATTGCCTGGTGTCTGTACTTACATCCATGAACTCCACATTAGCTTTGGGACCAGTTGTTTCATTAAGAATCTTAATAGCCACAGGAATCTTCACTGTTTCTCCTTCAGGCACCCAAATACCCTTTGGGAAAGGATGGAAATTCACATTAAATCTCTATTAAGACATATACAACTTTTATAGCAGACACAAAATTTGCTTTAACCACTCAACATATTAATTTCTTAAAAACATAATTTAGAAGTTCTATATTCTTTTATTCAAACAAAAAATACTTATCAAACCTCTGTAGTATGTTATAAGATACTCAGCAACCTTGTCTGTTTTCATTATCTGAAGATGAATTATACATGTATTCTGCTTTCAAGGTGTTAAACTATTATAAAATTCAATTTGTGACATGAAAATGCTTTCAATAGTGAAAAAAAACATTGAAATAAGATTTAATAGTAGTATTTGGTTTGGATGATATAATTAACTTCTCAAGACTTTGAGAAGTCTGTTCTGATTTTTGAACTTCAACTGTCTCATTTGTAATTTCAAAGATTGGGCTAAATAATGTTAGAGGTTCTTTTCAGTTTTAATATTATCTAATTATAGTGTCACTAAAAAAAATAAAAATAATAGAAAACATACTCTTATGTTCCTGAAATTTAGAATTATTTAAAACTTAACTTTTTAAGGTGCTTATTTAATCATCAGTATTTGAAAGTAAGCACTGGGGAGTATTGAGCAGACATTAATTTGTCTATATTATTAAATAGTGTATGTTTGTCAAGAATTTTTATTAGCTCTGAAATAATATAAAACATTTATGTTGACCATTGCCAGTTCTCTCTTCCTATAGAAATATAATATCTGAACAAGATGTTTGCATTGGGTAAGTATAAAGTAGTAGAGTTTGAGAAAAGTACAATGTTAATCTAAATAACATCATTTCTGAACAAACAATTCAACCATTTGAATAAAGACAATGAATTTAATAATACATGTAGGGATGCACAGATTATAAAAGAATTTTTTTAAAAAACCTACTGCCCAAATGAACACAGAAGCAGACAGGAAGTTGTACAGAAAAAGCAAAATCTCAAATTGAAATTTCTTAGCTGTGACATCAAAAAAGTCAGAGGCCAGTTTTAACATTAAAGTGAAAGAATGAAAAAAAAAGTCACCTATTATTTTTGAACAGAACATCTCTGCTTCTATCTTTCTTAATGTCAGCTATTTATAATCTAAAGAAAAAAATATTTTCACCTTGCACTTCAATGCTTAAACATACATAGTTGTGTTACCCAAAGTTGTAATAAGAGGACATCTAAACATAAGAACTATTAAAAAGTCAAAATAATAAAGAAAAAAAAAAGACTTTAACCTCTGGAAGGTGAATTTAAGGGTATGTTCTCATAGGGTGAGTAGGGAAATCAGGTATCACATGCAAAATAATAAGTCTTTTTAAAAATAAATTACTAATACAGAAATTGCCAAAAAAAAAATAAGAACCTAAAAACCATCGGCTACATTTTCTCACTGATGGTATCTGGGGAGGAAAACAGGTTTAGCATTATTCAATAAACCAAACCCAGGGTGGATTACCTTATAAAGATACAGCATTGGTATTAAAATACTCCTAAAATGTACTTTTGAAATAAGAATATAAATTCAGTGTGAATTAATTTGAACAGCTTTTTAAATAAGTACAAATCATTATTTTCTAGGCCTGACCAGACAAAAAAATCAACTATGCTAATACCCATGATATAGCTTCAAATCTTTCATGTTTAAACACAGCATATCTCTAGCCAGGAGGAAAAGTTAACCAAATAACTGGTTAAACCAATTGGCATTCCTGTGGTCAAGAATAACTCTTTATAGTTTAAGACAGCATGTCCTTGTAAGAACTAATATATTCATTAAAACTTATGGTCAATCTACACACTGCAGGCATCAAATTCAAACACACTTATGGAACTTCTGATACATGTAATTTCAATAAAGGTACAATACTCATGGACAACAGGCAAATAATTGCTCTTAATAAAAGTATTATTAAAGTTTTATTATTATATGTCTAAGTTAGTAATTTTTTTTCCTGCTGTGGTCACTAGATTATGTTGGTCTTGAGTTATATGACATCCATGATTTAAAAGTTATAAATTTTAAATTTAAAAATTCACTTATATAAATATTTAAATTAAAAACATAATCTAAAGAAAAAAATATTTTCACCTTGCACTTCAATGCTTAAACATACATAGTTGTGTTACCCAAAGTTGTAATAAGAGGACATCTAAACATAAGAACTATTAAAAAGTCAAAATAATAAAGAAAAAAAAAAGACTTTAACCTCTGGAAGGTGAATTTAAGGGTATGTTCTCATAGGGTGAGTAGGGAAATCAGGTATCACATGCAAAATAATAAGTCTTTTTAAAAATAAATTACTAATACAGAAATTGCCAAAAAAAAAATAAGAACCTAAAAACCATCGGCTACATTTTCTCACTGATGGTATCTGGGGAGGAAAACAGGTTTAGCATTATTCAATAAACCAAACCCAGGGTGGATTACCTTATAAAGATACAGCATTGGTATTAAAATACTCCTAAAATGTACTTTTGAAATAAGAATATAAATTCAGTGTGAATTAATTTGAACAGCTTTTTAAATAAGTACAAATCATTATTTTCTAGGCCTGACCAGACAAAAAAATCAACTATGCTAATACCCATGATATAGCTTCAAATCTTTCATGTTTAAACACAGCATATCTCTAGCCAGGAGGAAAAGTTAACCAAATAACTGGTTAAACCAATTGGCATTCCTGTGGTCAAGAATAACTCTTTATAGTTTAAGACAGCATGTCCTTGTAAGAACTAATATATTCATTAAAACTTATGGTCAATCTACACACTGCAGGCATCAAATTCAAACACACTTATGGAACTTCTGATACATGTAATTTCAATAAAGGTACAATACTCATGGACAACAGGCAAATAATTGCTCTTAATAAAAGTATTATTAAAGTTTTATTATTATATGTCTAAGTTAGTAATTTTTTTTCCTGCTGTGGTCACTAGATTATGTTGGTCTTGAGTTATATGACATCCATGATTTAAAAGTTATAAATTTTAAATTTAAAAATTCACTTATATAAATATTTAAATTAAAAACATTAAATTTTAATCCATATCATCCTTAAAATTATAAGGGTGATTATGTCCTAGGAACAATCCAAGATTCAGTTATCTTTAAAATGGAACTCCATTTTTTCTGGCATATTATGATAGAGTTATAAATAGGATAAGATGCATTTCTTTGAACATACAAAGATTTGAAAACTAGAAGTCATTAAGTTAGCCTAGAATACTTTCTACTCAAGTTAGGTTTTCAGTTAATAATTTTGAATTTAATTGAACAAAATATACATACTAAGAGATCAAGAAATTTCTGCATTTTGACCTTAGAATAAAAGTTTTATTTTAAAGAGATTAGATTATTTTTGTAAAATGCAGGAGAGAAAATACAGCCCTATATTCTAATTGTTAATATTCTCTGTTAAAGAAATCTTTGTTTTAAATAGAAAAAAATGAACATTTTAAAATGCAAAATTCCTAAGATCCAATATCTTTTAACAGACATGTTTATAAACATAGGCTTGCACAAAGCTTTAAGAAATACATAAAACTGCCAAAGTAAATTTTAAGAATTGTAATAATGGACAATACAGAAAGGATTTAGCACTAACCTAGCAGAGTTTCACTCTTGTTATTTACCATTAAAAATTAGTTTCACCACAATTAACCTTGGGTCTGGCCTCTGAATTGGTTTTGTAATTAAGCTAAATAAGTAAACATGCAAATGCAATCATTTGAGCTTTCCCTTTCCAGAAATATCTCTCTTTTGAAAACCCATGATGTCACCCTCTCTTTCTATCTGACCTGAATTTCACAAATAAAGTCCCCTTTATAGTTTGCATATAATGGTGAAGGCATCAAAACTGGAGATCATCTGTTCAGTCATATATGTTACCAGGTAGACAAAAAGCGGTTTAGGAAATAGTACTATTCTGTTAATGTCTCAGCACATTTGTGTGGATTCTAAGAGACTGGCTATGTTAGAAACATATTGGAAAAGAGAACATAAGAAGAGAAGGACAGGGATTGTGGCTCATTTCTCTGGTCTATCTGAGATTTCGTGGAGTACTGTGTAGGGGGCAAGGAAAATGGTTTGGAGCTGGGTGTTTTGGATAAGAATAAAATTTGCCAAAGCAATCAAAGACAGTATCAAAGACAGTATCAAAGGAACTACACTTTGGCTTTGTACCAGTGTTTTCTGCTTTCTCATGACTGTATCTACCCCAGCTTTTGCTCAATAAAAAGTAATGAATTCATTTGTGCAGCAGCTTTTTCGTACTAGAAAGGCCTCCTCTCTGAATATTAAAAAGAAATTACATTAGCTAGAACAATAGCTCTGGCTATTACATAAACAAGTCTGAAACAAAACTCAAAAATAACTGGTGGTGTTTCTACTTACTTTATAAACAGTTCCGAAAGCACCCGAACCAAGTACTTTTACTCTTTTGAGCTCAGTTTCTTTCAAAATCCGAAGTTGAGCTTGATTGGGCGCTGTGCCACTGGGCGTTAGGGGTTCTACCAACTACAAAACAAACAGAACACAGGTTGTACAATCAGTGCTCGTCTCTCTTTCTTTCTATCTGGCTCTCTTCTCACACATACACACAGCACTCAAGCACACTTTCCCTTGACAAACAATTTTTCTGTAATATGGATCACTCACCATTCCTTCAGACCCTATCCTTTCTCTTCTCGTGCTCTTTGCCTGGTTCAACAGGACTCAAGTAATAACAGTGTGCCTACCTTGAGGCATACTAGGCTAGGAGATTTGTTTTTTCCACTTTTATGGAAATTTAGAGACTAATTAGGAGCTCTTAATTACACCTTTTCAAGTTCTTCCCTTTTTGGCATTGCTAACCAAGACTTGGATATTTAGTTATGTCCGCATACTCAGTCACCGTTTTCCTTCTTGTTTTAGGAGATTTGATACACAAAGAAAACAGAAAATGAAACGCTGCCTTCTTAGTTAGCACTTAACATCTAGCTAGGAAGCCAGGGCAGACATGAAAGAAGAGGAAAAAGTAAGTTAGCACAATGCATCCCTAACTTTTCGTGTATGCATGAATTACCCGAGGTTAAGTTAAAAATGCAGATTCTGGTTCAGGAGGTCTGGGGTTGGGGGTGAAGTTTGCATTTTCATGGAACCCCAGGGGATGCCACTGTATGGGATCTGAACCTGTTTTCAGCAGCAAGGCTCTGGAGTACATTCTCAATGAAAAAAAGCTGACATTCTGTGCATTGATTGTAGATCGTAAGTGAGTGCAATAGAATGGAAGGAATAAAATAGCCACCAGGGAGTGTGGTTTACTGTTTTTGGTCTCCTAAAGGAGGTACACTTTAAAATTAATCTTGAGGTAATAAAAATGGATTGACATGAGGGTGAGACTGCCCACATGAAGGAGACTTTGGACACAGCATCAGAGAGGAAGAGGGAGACACAAAGGAAATCCAACAGGATGCAGGTCTGAAGGTTGAGATTGGCGTGGGAAACACCCGATCATGAAGTGAGCTGGGTGAGGCCAAAAGGGGTAAAACGAGGCTGATAATTTTAGATGTCATAGTTTAGATGCCATTTAGCTAGTAGATAAATAAGCAGGGGAACGGAATGTGAATGTGTGCCAGTTTCTTGCCTTTGTGAGAAAAAATATGTAGACATGAGAGAGACTTTGGGTACCACACTGGGTATCTTATATTAAAATATTTAGGTTTTATCTATGAAGGAAAAGGCAACTGAAAGAGGAGTTTCTTTTTTAAAGTTAAATAAAAGAATGAAACTTTAAATGCAAATAGCTTGTTTATTCTCAAAATAAGGAAATAATTAAGGGGAACGCCTACTCAACTTGTCTTGAAAACTACCACAGTATATTTTAAAATGCCTTTTTATAAAGCTAAAAGCATCGAGGCCCTCCAGCTTGGTTATGATTATTCACAAGGCTACTGTGAACATCGTGGTCTACTTAGTTAGTTGAACAATTTTGAGTATAGATAAAGAATTTTGAGAAGTAACAAGAGCAAGAATTTTGAGAAGATGGTAAAAATTACCCATAAACTTGGGCTATTTTCTAACAGTTTGACAACTAATATACTTCTACTTCATTTTCAAATTTATACTGTAAAAATGCATATAACTGCATTCACGTCACATGAAAGAAATCTCAGAAACAATCATGAAATTATTTATTAAATCAGAAAAATAATCTCCCACAGAGAATCTCCTTCATTTAAATTGAACTCTTCTATGTAGACTTTGTTTGGTAGATTTTGCTTTGTACACAATATATGTGAAATTTTATGAATTATTTTTTTTAATCACATACAAAAGTCATAGAAAATCATATACAGGATGGGGGACTAGATTTCAGCACTTTGTGCTAGATATATTTAAAACATAGGCTATATACATGCTTTGGGACATATGGTACAGATATGAAAATAATTTCATATTTTGAAAACTTCACAATTCTACCTGAGATGTTAAGTTTCCTGTGATTTGGTTAGAAATCATTTAAAAAGGTTTACACATTTTTCCAGGAATTTGAGTATTATGCCATAGTTTCATTTTGTGAGCCAGTGTGGTAGAAGGAACATTGAGTTTATTTATTTATTTATTAGATTGAATTTAAATTTGTAGCTCTGTGTACCAGCACTGACACTCATAAGCTTAGAGAGCAATTTACCCTTCCTGGCTCCTCCTTTCACATCTGTGAAATGGGTATAGCAATAATTACCTTCAAACACTGTGAAATGATGAAATGAGATATAACAAAGGCGGAACATTTGGGAACATTGCCTGCCAAATTATAAGCCCTGAATCTGTCACTGTTCAAGGGACAGGATCATATCTCATTAATGCATTTTTAAATCATAGCATGTATCAAAACATCAAGCTTACAGAGCATCTCAATAAGTGTATGTTGAAAAAATACATTTTCTACTTTTATGCTTGTAACAGTAGAAAGACAATCTGGAGCAAAATGATTTTGGGAAAGCATATTAACTTTTTAAATACATTTCAACAATATATTATGCTTTATCAAATTTTTAGCATCCGAGACAGATTTCTAGCTTCAATATTTAAGGATTTGAGTTGATCCTCTTTAGAATTCCTCTTCTATTTAGATGGTAGAAAACGATAGTTATTTACTGTTACTGAGAGAAAAATTGGAATTCTACAATAATCCAATTTAGTGTTAAGTGATAACTTTCTATTAAAAATAGAATCTGCTTATAAAACCAGTATGTATTTATTTAGTAATGAAGTTCCATCTTTAAAGATATTTTCAGAACCACCATACTAAAAAAAGAAAACAAAACAGAACAACTATTTTCATTGCAATGAGTCTTTCTTGCATGTGGGTAAAATTATTTCTCTTCTATTTATTCCATCACCTAAATGTCCACTGCTATTCTAAGCCTTCAATTCTGCTCCAACTCTCTTCTTACTTCACTTTTCAGAATTCTCATAGCAAATGCCCCGTAACAAAGGCCATGAAGGAGAATTCTGCCTTTAGCATCCTAGCTGAACTGTGCATATGCATAGCACATGCTCTATGCCCAAATTTTATTCACATGTGCAAGGTTGAAACTGATCAAGTTGGTCTTCCATAAACATTCAGTTCAAGTAGGAATCAAATAGGAATTACTACTCTGTTTCTTCCATGTGTATAACTGACAACCTATTTTATGCTTGAACTTGTCTATTGATGAGACAGTCCACTCTAATTTCAGATAACTCTAATTCTTAGAAAATACTTTTCTGTATGTAACTATAAAGTAACTTTCTGAAACTTTCACATGATTCTTCTATCACATTTGACTTCTGGAGGAAAAGAGCTAAAATTTAATTCATTTCCAGTGCTCACAACTTATGAATGAAGAGTCCCATTCTTGTCAGTGTTTAGAGGAAAATGATCCTGTCACACTGACAATGAGAAAGAAAACAAACCCAGGGAAGACTAAGTCTGAGAACAGAATTTCTCTGACTTGTTCAGACAGGCACAAATGTGTATGTCAGGAGAAAGAGGTAAAATGAGAGTTGAGAAGGATCTGGAAATGTGTAGTCTTCTGAAATTGTTTTTCCCTTGTAACTTTTACAGGGAAAACTATCATCTTGCATGCTAGAGACCTCAGTGTGGCAATATAAAAGAAATTATAATAACTTGGGGCTAATTTACATATTCACAATAACTAACATGCATAATGTTAAAATGCATGTCATACATTGTGTGGTAAGGTCTGTGTGGATTACAACACTAAGCTCTATCCTGTAAACTCAGCCTTTCACTTCTGGTTTAATGAAATCAGTGGCTAACAATTTAATGATCCTAATTAAAGCATAAATTCCTTTCCTCTCTGGCTTTATTTTGAACGAAAAAATTCTCTTTCTAACATTTTTCTAATTCTGCTACTGAGATATCCTCCACCCAGATATCTTCTAGTTCTGCTACTATGATATCGTAGAGCTTGCTACTGGACCCCTCCCCCAAAAGAAACAGTTCTGCCTTTTCCCCAATATGGTGATTTCCTTGACCCTTGCCTATTTACCCTCTTTAAGCCATGAAATTGCCTTGACTAGTTTTACTATATGCTATGATTTTTTCATCCACCTTGTATAATATACTATAAAATATAAATCCTCAAACAGGAACGTGAACAGAGTGTTTCTGTGGATTGAAAAACTGAGTATACGTTATTTGGATAACTCTAAGTGGCCACAATAGTAACTTCAGAGTGTAAAGAGCAAAATAAAATAATAGAAGTGTGCCAAAAACAAATACCTGAGTATCACCTAAACCTTCTAAACTTAATGAAAAATCTTTAAATACAAGAAGAGAAGAAATAAACACCTCACCTCTGTTTCCAGGAATCTTCTCAAGGCTCTTTTCTTCTTGATACTCTTTCTTCTAACATAAACTGCAAATGTTAGAGCCACGATGACCAGGATGAAGAGCCCACCAATGACTCCAGCTGCGATTAGGGGGGTCCTGCCAACCGGAATGGGAAAGGAAAGAAAAAGAAGTATGAAGAGAGAAAAGACAGAGGAAGAGAAAGAGCAGTTGTACAAGACATTATTCACATATCACGAATCTGGTCAGTTACAAGAAATGCAAATAAAAATGCATTAGAGCTGTCACAAAACTTTTCTCATGGGAAAAACTGTATTTGCTTTCTATATGTTTTGTTGTGAAATAATAAACCCATGCACACAGAGCTAATCTTTGGGGATGAGCAACCACAACATGCTGTTCGATGAAAAAATGTGAAACGTGGTAACAGAATGAAGAACGTATGCCAAAGTGTTGATATAAGAGCATTCAAATTGTTTCAATTTTAATCCTACCTACAAATGGAAATATATTTTAGTAATGTGATTGTGGTACATATTATTTTTCAACATTTTCTCTAAAGCAGGCTTTCTTAACAGTGGCACTATTGACATTTGGGCTGGAAAACTGCCCTACGTACTTTCAAATACTTAGCAGCATCCCTGGCCTCCATCCACTAAATGTCAGTAGCACCCCCATTGTCCAGTCCTGAATATGTCTCTAGACATTGGCAAATGTTTGCCCAAATCACCCCCAGTTGATAACTACTGATCTAAAGCAAAAACGAGTGATCTGGAGACATATAAACCCCACACCACTGGAGGATGAAGGTACCAATAAGAAAGACATAGTGACAGAAGTGCTGCTTCAAACTCTGGCAAAGGCAGCTCTGGTGGGATAAAGCACAAGAGAAAGATAAAGGATTGGATCAAAGGGGTTTTCAGAGTTATGATGACAGGAGAGTTATTATCAGAAGTCTGCCTAAGGATCATATACCCATAAAAGAGGTCTGCACATTAACTCATACATAACAATGTACAAATAATATCAAAAGGGGATTAGGAAGAGATTAAAAGGAATTTTTATTCTTACATGTTTTTTCCAATATATAAGATAAGATATTAGATAAGATATAATACTGAAACTGATCACTTAGTGTTTTCTAAGATAATTTTTTCCTTGCTTTGAAAGCAATATTTATGGTCTTAACTTCTTGTTCTAGAATAGATCAGTATCTATAACTTTTCTGTGGTCAGAGCCCTGAAATGTATTAATTTTATACTCCACAGCAAATAGCCCAGAGTAAAACATACAGGTGCTATCTAATACATATTTAACCATGAAACCATGATAGATACCAAAACTAAAAAATAATACCATGAACACCAATGCTTTCCATAATATTTTATATCTTATATTCCTGTTTACAGAAGAACCTACTCTATTCAGTGACATTCTTTTAGAAAAAAATTACTTGTTCTTGAAAATTAAACTTTTGCCCAAAGACAGATCAGAAATAATGACAGCAGATGATCTTAATAAAATTAAAAAAATTTTTAAGTGCTCTTGAAAAAAAATTGTTTAACTTCCATAAATGAAGTCACGTCTTTTAAAGATTGTAACTGTTTTACTGTCATATAAAACTGCAGAAAAACCTTAAAAAGTATTTCATCCTAAGGTTGTTTCCTGACAGCTGAAAGTACTATAGTCGCTATACTAAAATGTTGCTATAATTCAACTAGATTTTCCTAGATGGAATTTTCTAAAGATATAAAAATCTATGCTGAGAAAATTAAACTATAGTATTGACACAGACTCATCATTGTGATGTGGTTTGGTGTGTATAAGATCATATTTTTGAGCATGCCATTTAAATACGTATTGCAGAAAACATTTTAAGGTTTAAACCCAAGGCATAATTTTCAGCTCAAGTGCCTAACATATCCCTGAAAAGCCACTACTATAAAAATAATTGTATTTTTATTTCTTAAGCCCAAATTTTTGTTTCAAGTATTTATTTTATGATTGAGAATAGTGACCCAGATTTTGCTAATTGTAGATTTGAACTAAACTCTAAAATTCCTCTATTTATATAGTTTGCAAAAGAATTAGTGGTATGTATTTATGAAAACTTCTGTCAAAGTCATTTTAAATTAAAATAAAATGTTCTATTTTCTTTTTATTTGTTTTTTCATTTTATGAAGGATCACTTCCAATAGAACAAAACAAAACCTGTTTCTACTCTTTAAGTCACGTGGATATCAATTGTCATGCCATTTACTACCAGCTTGGACATGGCAATGAAAATAAAACTTCAGAAACTCAACAGACAATAATTTCTATGTTTCTTTAGTTAGTATTCACTTTTGATATTTTCCCACAGTGCTTCCTTGGTTGATTTGCATATCTTTACTTTTTTTCTCCTCCTACTACTCTGCAGGAATGGGAGGGAACAATCTTAAGAAGTAAAGAACTAGAGCTCTTTTAGCACCTAAAATCATACATACATGTTTTGTTGGACATTTTAAGAGACCAAATTCTTCATATTCCAACAGAAGTCACTCTTGAAAAACAAACCATTCATCACAAGGAAGCAACCAGCCAAACTGAGAAAGGGGAACATTGTATAAGATAACTTGCAGGTTCTCTTTGATAAGTGCGTATCACCAAAAAAGTTTTGGTCTTGATTAAGAAGACTTAATAATCATAACAACCAGATGTGAAATGCAATCCTGGACTGGACCCTAGTTTGGACAAATGAGCCATGTAGACATTTTGAGATGACTTAAGAAGCTTGAACGTGGATCAGGTGGTACATGAGATGAGAATGTCATGCCGTGGAAAGACATAGACCAAAAGTGAAAAGATTGGATTATAAGACAGTAGGATCTTAATTCAGGAAAAAAATTCATGTGTGTGTGTGTGTGTGTGTGTGTGTGTGAAAAGATCTGGAAGAATATACAATATGACACTAAAGAGTAGTTGCTACTGGATAGTATGACCATGGTGCTCTTATTTTTTGTACTTTTTTCTAAAGGGTGTTTTCTAATTTTCTACAATATACTTATTTTCTTTTTGGAATAAGTTTAGTAAATTTAAGACAAATCTAAATCACTGTCTGAAAGTTTAGTTTTACAGTAATGTCCTTGCTTTCTTTTTTTGACTTGAGTATTTACTTTGCATTTTTTAGAAATGAGACCTTATTTTGCTATTCCCTGTCCACTTTTATAATCTAAATACTCATGCAGATATTTTCTATTCATTATAGTTGAATGTACCTGAGACATTTAATTATTATTATGCTTCTTACAACTAACCAAGGTAATCTAAAAAGTTAGAACTATAGATACATTTCCCACTCCCCCCAATTCTGATGATTCCTAGATAATTTTAGGTGTAGAAGAGATACCTATTTGTCCCCTGAGACTCTTTATGAGGACATGCTTCACTCTTTATGAGGACACTTTGGATAAAGAGGATAGAGCTCCTTGAGCTGCCTCTTTGGATTGTTGTATATCCTACCTACGTCTAATAACCTATTTTTCTATAAAAGAGTCTTTCCTCTTACATGTGAATCAGAGTAACCTCAAAGAGGTTGAGATAGTATACTGTTGAGATCATAAGGGTCAAACACCAAAGACCTACAATACTCTATACATAACTCCTCTTCTGTGATACAATATTGTTTGTTTGCTGTCATTTGCTTGTCCATTAAAAATGGACCCTAAACTATAAAAGATAGGATACTTCATGTGCCAAGTCCAAGCTTAGACTAAAAGGAGGCAATCAATTGATAGTTTATCTTGTTCCAGGATTTGGAAATAGTATCATATAACTGATATCCTACTACCACTAATAGAAATTAACATAATGAACTTTCTGAATCACAAATGAAGTTATCTAATTTATTTAAAAGCATATAATTTGGTTTTCAAAATTCCATTTAGAAGTTCAGAGACAACACAATGTATTACATTCTATTGCCTTTTATATATAACTGTCTTAAACAGTCTTAAACAGTTATATATATAAAAGAATAGTATTTCCCAAAGCTTTATTAGTTAGATAATAAGATATATTATTATCATTCATTACTGTAGTTGAACCATCATCGCCTCACTGAAGAATATAAAATGTGAGAGAATATATGGAAACTTATTTTACAGACATCCAAATATTTTCCTTTATTGTTTTTTTGCCCTTCCAGATAACAGATAACAAATAAAATGTAACAAAGTCAATATAATTTAAGATTAAAACTCAATGGTTCTAAAAGTATTTCCCTCAACATTTTCTATTTAATGACAAGGGTAGACTATTTTACTAAAAATATACAGTGGTATTTTCTTGAAAATTGTAAATTTGATAAACCTGTTATTTTGACAAACAGTAATTACAAACAATGCTCAATCTATGAGATTCTCTTATAGGTATTTCACTAAGTAAAAGGATTTAAATTTTATATTTCTTAAATACAGAATAAGTTTGAACTAAAGATAAAAGAACTAACTATAGTCCTATAACACACTAACAGTGTAATTTGCAACTAACACTATTGACTTTAAATCAGAGAGCTCTATTTTTAGAAACTTTTAAATTGAAATAAACAATTTAAAGGTGGGTCTTCAGAATTTGCTGGATCAGAGTTAGAGCAGCTTCATTGTTTATGGGCAATAAAAGTTACACTGAATTTTTTCAAAAATTTACACAGGAGGTAAAAACAAACAAAATAGAAACAATATGCTAAAAGATCATTTTAAAAGGTCATTCTTCTATAATAAATTAAATAAAATGTTAAAGATAGTGCCCTTAAAACTGTGTTGTGTTTATCTTTCAAATCTGTATGATTTTTCCCTATGGAATGATGCTTTAGAGTCAGACCAGTCTGAGTTTTAATATGTGTCTGCCTCTACCTAGTGAATGTAGTTCCTCTATCAAATAACTCAGGCTAAATACACATAAATACATTTGTCACCTAAGGTAATAAAAAATAAACACAGTAGGTAGCTCCCTAGTCTTTCCTTTATTTCTGAGATATGATAAATTTGTCTCTAGATCCTGTCTAGCACTATTATTCAATCAATTACCTTTAAGCATTGGTGAATTATATGCCTCACTTAGGCCAGGACTCAGTTTGTGCCACTATCAATAATACCCAT